TATATATATATATATATATATCTTGAAAAAAATTGTCGAAACAAAATGCATTGTAAAGTTAAAATTGATACTTTCGTGTGGCATTAATGAAATTTAAACAAATTTTATATTGATGTTACAATATCGTAAAAATTCTCAAAATTGTCGTATTTTGCTACTTTGATACCATTTTCTCAAAATTGTGATGTGATAATAGATAAAATTTTGACTTTGTATTTAGCAAAAATACGTCGGAAATGATTTCACATTGCAAAAAAGATCAAAACATTTTTCTCGATGTACTAATATTTAAAGAAAAGAATTTGCGTAAGACCCAAATGACCTAATAAATCGTAATATAATCAATTAAACACTAATTTTCCGCTTCTAAATATTTAGTAACTATTATCAAACGGTTATGATTACGTTTGATAATATTTACTAAATATTCCATCAATATGTTAAACAAAATATATTTGGTATCTACAGCCTTGGCAATAAGTAATAAATCCCTCAAATTGATATAAACATTTTATATCTGACAAAAAATAAATTTAAAAAAATTCATTTAATTGAAAAATATTTACTTTTGTAACAATTTTAATATTTTCAGGTTTATTATCTGGAAAAATCTAGAAAATCTGGAATTTTTGTAGGACTTCTTTTTTTACTCTCGTAAATCAAGAATTTTCATAAAATGTTATCGAGGTTTAGAAAAATTTTTGGAATTTTACTTTTAAATTTAAATTTTGTCTTTTTTGAAAGTATTATTTCTTTGATCATTTTTTTCTTAGTAATGCAAAATGTTGACAATATGTTTAGTTAGCAATATATATGGGATACACATCCGCGTATATTCACGTACATATTGTATGCTTTTATTTTAAAAAATCAGGGCGACAATAACTTTCTAATATTACATTATATATTATATATTATACATTATACATTATATATTATATATTATACATTATACATTATATATTATATATGTGTGTGTGTGTGCGCGCGCGCGTGTGTGTGTGTGTGTAGTTTATCATCCTTATATCCTATAAATTTCATGACACCAATTGTAGAAAGTGATACAATCCTCAAATAAATAGTCAGAATATGTATTGTCTTGAACCCTGTCTTGTATCGATTTTCAATATACATCTGTTTCATTTACATTCTTGCCCTCCAATTTCACTTCTTTATTTCAAAATTACATTTAAATACATTTTCTAATCTTATCTGGAATTTTGAGCAAGATACCTGAAATATCTAGAAATTTTCAGGAAATTCTTTTTACAAGATTTTAGTAAATATTTTATAAATTTTCTTTTCGATTTTTATTACCACCTTTTTCAAAAAAGTGAAAATTGTGGGTGCTTTATTCATGTTTAAGTTGTATCATCAGGTTTTATCTTCAATGATACCTTGGATTAAACGATAGTTTAACTTTGTGAGAAAAAAAAGAAGAAAGAAAAATTACGCCAGTACATCTCTCAATTCTAACCCCTCAATTTTAACCAAATTCATCAACTGCCTGTAAATTAATTCCGAACACGAACTCGCGTACAGCAGCACGATATTTCCTAGATATTTCCTATCCTCCCAAAATTTCATATCAGCGTTATCAAACTCTGCTTCGTGTTAGCAAGTGGAAGAACGAACAGCTTGCGCTGGCTCCCGAGTTCCCGAAATCGTCGAAAGGGTTCGCCGGGCACATGACACGTGAGGTTGGGACCGTGTCCGTTTGCGTGGACGCCGGGCGTCGGGCGCTCACGTGGCACCCCTCTCCACCGCCTTCATTCTCGCGGGCATCGTGCATGAGGTTCCCACTTCCCATTTCCCACTTCCCTCGCCGCCCGGCATTCTCCCCCCCCCCTCTGCCCCTCCCTCCCTCTCTTACCGTCGTCAGTCGTGTCGTTCCGATCCACCAGCCGAACGGCGTGGCGCGGCGGTCCCACGATCTTCTACCCCTCTTTCCCCACTCGTTCGTCACTCTACCGCGCGTCGCTTCCCCCTTCTCGTCCCGCTACTCTCCACGCACAGCGTCCTCCGGCAGCAGCCGAAGAGAGCCGAGTGCTGTGCTGTCGCGCCCGCCGCTCTTCAGTCAGTAACGCGAGCGCCTTCGTGGAGTTTGGTTTTCCGTGGTTTCTGCCGCTCGTGCCGTTACGTCGTCGTGGTAACACGCAACGCGGCGGCATCGCGTTCGTCTTTTTATCCTTCTTTGTCCCGTCGTTCGTGTGGAATAACGTTTACAGTGTTACACGCTGAGAGTGTTTTCTCCGTGAATAATTAGACAAGTGTTTGGTGATCGGAAGAGCCCTTGTTATTGGCGGTCTCCACTCACGTGAATTCGGAGCGGAGGTAAACAAAGAAATCGGCAGAGTCGTACGACGCAACATTGGCGCAAAACGGCGCGTACAACTCAGGGTAATCTCAAAGTGTGTCGCAGCCAGTGTCGGCCGAGTTTTCGTATCGTCAGGGCGCGCGCCGCGCAAACGAGAATGCCGGGACGCGTAAGCGTAACGCGGTCGGTCGGAGAGCAGCGGTGTGCTCGCGCCGGTTTGGTTTTCGGGTCGTCGAGTGGTGACTGAGGGGGGCCGGGAGGAGGGAGGAGGGAGAAGGGATGCGAAGGATCATCCCGCGGGAGCAGCAGCCGGCGCGGTGTGTTGGGTAGCACGATCTACGGCAGCGTGCCGCGTGTAGGTGCCGGGTAAAAGTAGTAAGTGGCCGGGAGGAGGAGGAGGTGGAGGTGGAGGAGGAGGTGGAGGAGGAGGAGGAGGTGGAGGTGGAGGAGGAGGTGGAGGAGGAGGAGGAGGTGGTGGAGGTGGTGGTGGAGGAGGAGGAGGGTGAGAGTGAGAGAGATCTCTCGAGGGTGCGAGGATGGCCGGCTGGCGGCGAGGCCGGCGAGTAGCGTTGATCCGCAACGCGTAGGTGTTGCTGCTACTGCTGTTGCTGTTGCTGTTGCTGCGCGTCGCGACACCGACGTGACGGCCACGTGCCGCGGCGGACGCATCGTCGTTGGCCAGTGGCATTAACTCTCCCCCTCTTGTATCGTGACCGGGTGATTGCGTGCCGAGCATGTCGTAACCGCGCGTTTCACGTCAGAACACGCGATCGGAGTGTACTCGCCGTCTATATTCAGGTATAAACAAAACGGAGATACTCACCTGCACGCGTGTACTTATTGAATAAAAACGCGCCCCCCCCCCCCCACCCCACCCCCCGGATCTACGTCGAGTAAGACGAAAAAGTGATTCGCGTCAAGTGACCGCGGAATCAGGTTAACCGAGTTGACAGTGCAATCGTGATATCGCGCGGGAAGTAGCAGTGCAAGAAACGGGAAATTCGCTGCTCTTTTAGTCAAGTTTTTTGCTCCTAAAAAGACTTAAAGAGAACAGAAAGAGAAGTGGTGGTTGTTTTTCACACAAATGGAATTTGTGGAAGAGGTCGTTGTCGCGTGACTGTGTGATAGCAAGTTTACCGCGATAATCCGTGAGTTTAACGATACGAAGGCTTTGAGAATATATGATATAATATAGTGAAGGTGATCGCGTTAACGTGTAACGCGACGTTAAAAACGTCCGAATCCATTATACCTTCCGTCCGAATGTACACCTTGGAGTAACGCGCGATTCCCCTTGTTTACGTCGAAGGATACTCCTACAATGTGCAGTGATACGTAACGTCCCTTCGTAGTGATCGTTCATAACAGAGGAATTGTGAGCGACATTTTCGATATTTTGACAATCGGAGTTTCGAAAATATAACTCTGATTTTAAAGCCGATCTCAAGACTGAAGACTACTTCGTAGTTACGCATGTTTTGAAAGGAGCAAAACTTGCTTGAATGATGGTTGCTGCACGTGTTCCGAAGGAAATTGCGCTTTAAGCGCTCAAGTTCGGATAAGATCGGAGCATTTAGTAGTAGAAAGATCAGTGAGAAAAAGCAGGGTGTGTGTGGGAGAGTTTGAGACTGAGAATTGAATCAAAGCGGGAAAAGGAAAGGAGCGGAAGGAAAAGAGAAAGCGAAGAGAAAAAGGAGGGAGAGAGAAAAAGAGAAGGAGCACGTCCTCTAGTCCAAAAAAAAAGAAAGAAAGAAAGAAAAAGGGAAGCCCAGCAGCGGGAGTTGCAGAAGAGAAGAGTCGGTGAAGAGCGTGGAGGGGGGAGTGATGCCGGCGGTGAGCGTGGCACAGCGCCCTCCAGGTGGAATCCCACTCCACGCCGGCGTGCCGGTAGCGGCCAGCAGCGTAACCGCCCCCGGTCCATCGGGCCGGTGCCTCGGGGGCCCGGCAGCGCCCCCCGCCGGCTCGCCACCGCTGCCGCCGTCCTTGCAATCCCTTGGCGGCGGCGTTGCCCCTAACAGCAACAGCAACGCTGTTGTCAATCCCAATAGCATCAACCACAGCGGCAACAGCAATAACAACAACAACCACAATCACAACGCGCTTGCCGGGGTTGCCGGCAACCCCGTCAACAACAATCATCATCTCGGCAACAACGCCTTAGGCATCAACACGGCGAGCGGCGCCACGAATCCTCTGCAGGCGATGGCGTCGGCGGCAGCATCGCTGACGCAGCTGAATAATATGGCGAACGGTCCGTTGCCGCCACTCGCGGGCACGGGCCCAGCCGGACCACCGAGTCTGCCGCCGCCGCAGCCGGCGACGACGCCGACGCACGGTGGACCGCCGACCCCGCATGGCGGGGTCAGCGCGGCGCCTCATCTCAACGGCGCTTCGCCGAGTCCCCATCCGATGCCGCCCCACGGAATGATGAGCGGTTCGCCTCACACGCCTCACCCGCATATGGGGGGCGGCGGGCCCTCGCCCCATCCCCATCATCCGGGGCCTCACATGGTCGGTTCGCCGCATCATCCAGCGGCGCCCCATCCGATGGGTCCGGCCGGCATGATGGGGCCGGCCGGTATGCAGCCCCAAGGCGCGCCCGGTATCTGCGGCCCTGGACCCACCGGTCCGATGGGTCCACACGCGCATCCACAAGGACCAGGGGTGCCTGGACAACCGCATTTGCACAACGACCCATTCTTCAACTGCCAGCCTTTTCCCTCGCACTATTACAACAGGTAAATTCCTAACTCTTACCAACGATGTGCTTGATACATCTTACATCTTACGGAAGCGGAGGAAAGAAGAGAAGGAGGAAAATAGATGAAAATAGATGTTTTTCGACGAATCACTCACGATTATGAGTTTGGAGAGACGATGGAAGCTGTTGTAATAATAAACCACGATTTTTCGATTATAAATAATAAATGTTTTTATTATTTGTTGTTAAATTTAACATTAATATTAATATTAAAAAAGTTTTTTTTATAGTAATTGCTATAAACGTTTTTATAACCTGACCTTGATGTTTTACACATCTTAAACTACGTTCTTTTTGTGCTTTTTGTTACTGATTTATTTAAACTTTATTCTTGACGCTCGAGAAGCATTATGCGTCGTCTACAATACATGGAGTAAAAAATTGACCAATCACAAATTATTTTTCTCGCATTCGACTGTGATTGGTCAATTTCTTATTCTTACTATTTACTTTCTCTGTGTATTGTTGACGATGCATTAAAGTATATTACAACACTTTGATTCTCTCTCTATAAAACTTTAACAAGTACTGATGAAGATGAGTATGTAACTTATCTAAAATATCATGATAACTCATATTATTGTATATAATTGATTTCAAGATCTATTTTGTCATACGCAAATGTGATATATTTCACATTGTAAGAATAAAATCTGAATTAAATTGAATTTTTAATTATATTCTATCAATTAAAATTTTGTCTAAAAACCATGATTTTTTTTATCGCGATTGATTTACGGAAACACACAAATTGGATTTTATAACTGTTTAATTTAGCAAAATAATTCAAAAAAATGATTATTTTTATGTGATCTACATATGTGATTCTCTTCCGCAGAGCATAGAGCAGACAGATATATAATCAATTTTTTAACTGCATATGTATTTCTTTATTTTAACTCTATCGCGTTACAAATTGTACAGTTGTGGGATTATGCTGGAAGAAATTTGATTTAGCGACTCTAGGGTATAAAATCGACGTTAAGTTTTATTCGCCAACTAATTTTTTGTCGCGTTTGGCAGGCGTAATTTTCATAAGATCGATATATTAATAGTGCTTCCCTGCCGTAGCGACTGTAATGAATGCGCCATAAATGTCAAAATTACGACAGAAGAAATAATTTGTACTCAATCATATATGAAAACAAAATATAATACATACGTCGCCGAAAATACATATCTCGCTCAACATCGAGAAAGCGCCGTTTCCTCTTATTTCTCTACAAAGAAAGATCCTCGATATTGCTTTCAAAGCAATTTTACAGATTGTTGTGGAAGCAGCACTCGAATTATACAGGATGTATCCAGAAATTACACATTTTCTTTCGCGCGCGATTGCTGACTTTTTAAATTTAACATTGATTGTTATTTAATGAGAATAGCACTGATTGTTAATTGTACCTTCACTTAAATTTTTAAATCAAAATTTCAAATATATAATTATATATAATTTATTATTCTTTTCCTCAAAACATGGCACTGTTTCAAAGTCACTAGTCTATATAATGGCTTTCTATTCCCTATGGTAATGCTAATAATAAAAAAAATAGACAAATCTTCTAAAGTTGTAGAGGATTTCTGATTTCGTTGAATTTAAATTGGATATCAGAAATTCTAGAAATCAGAGTCCTCTATATAATCAGAGTCTGGACGAATTGTGTTTTGTATGCAAGATCTCTAGTTTTAGCAAAATTACGCGGGAGAGAAGAGCTTCACTATTTCTTTCTCTTTTTCTTTCTGTTGTATCTCCTTCCTCTCCTCTCTCTCTCTCTCTCTCTCTCTCTCTCTCTCTCTCTCATTACTAAACGTGCATGGTAGACCAATCACAAGTATCTGTGTCATGACTCTGATTAGAGGATTTTTAATTGTGAGAAATTCGAAATTCAAAATGGCAGCTCTAATATGGCGGTTTAACAATTGAAAAAATATACATTTTCGTGAGACTAGCTAACAATAAGATTTTTGACATCGAAAATTAATAATCGAAAAGTATATAAAGCTGTGAAAATGTATGGAATAAAATAATAAATCGAAAAGATACGTCCATATAATACAAACTGTAATACAAACTGTATAGTATGAATAAGGCTTATTAAAATATAAAAATGAGGCATAAGTTTTTTATTTGCGAGTATATGTAACTCACATCTAACGGTTAATTTTAGGAATTCGGCAGAGCAAGTGTTAACGATAAGAGCAAGCATAAATTACGACATGAAGAATAAAATAGCGCCTATAGTCATTCCTGTGTCATTCCTGTGTACACTGAGAAAAATTTCAGATTGCAAATGGACATACCAGAAAATTCTGATCATATCAATCAGAATTCTAGTTATCTCAACAGGAATTTAATAGATTTAACTAGAAAATTTTATTTTGTTCATTTTCAAGGAGAATTCTAATTAATTCAGCCGGACTTTTTTTTTTAAGTTTAAAATTTAATATTCAATTCCTTTAAGCTATTTAAAATCTTGTTATACCTCGTTATTTTTTGTGTTTTATTTCTATGCTTGCAGAAAATGCAAGTTTCTGCAGAGACGTCCTATATAGTGATATAAATAGGTAATCTATCGTCATACCGGCCATAACAGTTCACCGTCACGCGAAAGAACACTCGCACGTGCGTCTCTCGCCAGTCAGGGTGGAACTTTGCGTGAAGGCGTATGTAAACTTTTTCTCGGGCCTGCTTGAGGAAGGGTAGATGGAGGAGGGAAAAGGGGAGAATTGTGTGGCAGGTAGTCACGCGAGGTTTTACGAAAAACTATCGCGTGGTCGAAAGAATCTCCCGCGAAGCTTAGCTCTTGCGCTCCGCTTATGAGCTATCTTAGTTCTGCTTCATGTCGTTGATAAATCGTGACATACTCCATTTTATTAAGTAAAAAATTATTTTCTAATTAACGATAAACTTTCGTGTTCTTACGATTTTTTTTTCGCATGTTTGCTTCGAGTTTGCTTCGAGAATATTAATTAAAGAATATTAATTAACTAAATATCGATAAAACAATCTTTCTTAGTAAATAATCGATACTATCGGTCAAGAACGGTGTCAAAGAGTTCGCATATTCATTGACCATTCGTTTTTTTTTTCTATTTCTTTTTCTGAATTTTTCATCATTTATAATTTTATATACGAACACAATAGCGTTACATTGTATAAATTACCAGATCAAAAAAATTGAAATACGCACAGTCACTTAAAATAATATTTCTAAATGTTAATATAATGTTTTTTAAATATTTTAAATATGATTTTTAAATGCATATTTATATGTATATAATTATTTGTATGTCTAAGACAATATTAAGTTAAGATTATTCACGGCTTGTCTTCGATTGGTTCGAGATTATTCCGTGACTCGGTCACGGACCGATGAGTTTTTTTTCCATCGTGGATATTTTTAGACAATTGTTTTACGGCTCGATACTTCGTTCCGTGCCAATCGTCCGGTAGTCGCTCACTAGTACGTTCTCTCAGGCGTAGTAACAGTATACCCCGAGAATCCGTTACCTCGGTTAGGATCTTCCTGGTCACAGTTGACTCCGCGCAACGCGGTTGAGATACAATAATATGTAGATAACTTCAAAGATTTCCCGAATATCATGATCACTAAATTCGTCAAAAAACGGATTCGCCGAATTCGCCAAAACTATATTTCAAATTTGCCATTGAAATTGACTGATCGGTCCGCTCAAAATTCCCTCGCTTTATAACAAGACACATCCATTTGCTTTTTGTGAAAAACTTTGTAGAATTTACTTTTGGACGAAATTTTGTAAAATTTTGGTATAAAATTGAAGCATACGCGAGATTGGAGAAAAATGGCTATTGATTTCACCATCATATATGCGAGTATTCGCGAGTATTCTGTCAGGTGCGTCGAAAAGTCGTCTTCACCGCGGCGGTATCTCCCGATGTCTCAGGTGCCTCTGGGAGGCAGATGGGAGGTGCCCCTGGCGCAGGTGTGCATGCACGTTCGTTCGCGACTTCCTCCTTCCTCGCGACGAGCGGGGCTCGTCTTGCGAGGAAAGAGATAGTCAGGGGTTAAGAACATCGATACTCGGTATGTGCATGACGACGATTATCCGGTACTTCTCCTCTTCGGCCTTCTTCGTATCCGGTCTGGACGTCTCTATCACCTCGGCATCATCTCTACGCTCACCGTCCCCGTCTGATAATCGCGGGCTCATTAACATAAGCGTTCCACCCTGCTACATTCGTACGAATGACGATGCTACTTTGCTCGCAGAGTTTAAGCAAAGCTTTCTTTTTAACGTACTCGACAATGACGATCCCATTTAACATTAACGCGAAATATTTAAGTTATCTTTTATAATTTCTGATTAATCATCACGCAAGACCCGACAAGAGCTTTGTCTTAATAAAAACTTCATATAGAAGCTTTTTTTGTCATGAAATTTTATATAATAGATATATCAATTAAAAAATTCTGAAATACGCACGCCCGCAATGATTAATTAATTCTAGAATAATGCTATCGATGCGTAAATTTATGTACAAGGAAATAGCCACTCATTAATGTAACACAGATTTTTCATTCATTTTACACTTTTAAAAATAATAAAATATTTATAACTTAAGGGGATCTTTACGTTTGATTTTAAAGATATTTTTTGAGAATTTTTTTAATGAATAAAAATTTAGGTATACTTAAAAAGTAATATAGGTATAGAAAGTGTGTATAATGTACATGTAAAAAAAAATTTTTTTAACATTTATTTTTTACAGAATAGTAATAAGATGGCGCTGAAGTTAGGTCTGCACCGCGAACGCACGGTCAAACGATGATAAAAGTACAAGTGGTATCGTTGGTCTGAAAGCAAAAAATGGAGTTTTTTCTTAATGAGTGAACTTGCCTGAATTTTCGCCTGAACAGGGATAATTGATATCACATGCATATTTTCAAAGTTTGTCGACAATTTGAAAAAAATGATTCGAATTTTGTTCATTTTTTTCCC